TCAATACGAGTGGAGTCATGTGCCCTTTGGACTGGCAAACGCAACTTAAAAGTACCTTTGCCATTGTGTTTGACTGTGATACGTTGGCAGGTCCTCAAAATCAACCATGGTGATGTGGGTCATTATGATTTTGAGAAGACTGTGCAAAGAGTCGAATCCATATGTTAGTTTCCTGTGATGAGGAAGACAGAAGGTATGTGTCAGCGTACTTGGAGTGGACGCACCGTTGGGTTCCGATAATGGGCGCTGGATGTCGCGCTGAATACCATACGCGCTGATCATCTCGGGCTATTTCCGCGCGGCGAGCATGGTGGCATGTGTGTTGTGGAAATTGTGGATCCCTTCATAAAGTGTGTTCATTTGTCTTCGGTCTATGGTACGGAATCCAAGGCAAGCATTAAAGTTTTTGGAAGCGTATTTGGTTTGTTTGGATCTTCGTCTGGGTTGATTGCTGATGTGGGTGCCAGTGTTATCAGTAAGGGATTTGGGACGTTTGTTAGGCCCATTGAGGCGGGACATGTGCATGGCTCGGTCGCGGCTCCGCGTCCCGGCGGACGGGTCGAGCGATGCAGTTGTTTGTTGTTGTAGTTAAAAGCAATGACACCGTTTGAGACCCCTACTGTCTGACGTTCATTTAGCCATAAATGCCTCGATACATAAAGTCGCGAAACGGTCACTAATGACCAACCGAATGACTGATTGGGCGGAAAAATTAGGCAATCCATCGCAATTGTAATAATGTCACTGAAGCGATTTTAAAACTGTGTTTTAAAGTGGGACTTGTATAGCAAATTAGGACAGGTGCTAGTGATCGCACTAAAGAATAAGGATCGATTTCAAGATAAAATAAGGATAGATTTGACAGATATCAAAGGTCATCAATGGAATATAGAGTTAGAGGTCTGATAATGATAGTAAGAGTTATTGTTCGGGGGTCAGGGAAGTCGAAGAAGCTAGAATCCAAATGCCATGGGCCGTACCAAATAAAAAGGTTTATACCCAATGACAAGTTCCTTACAGTAAACACACCGCCTTTGTAGAAGGAATATATATATAAGAAAATGAAAATGTATATATAATGTACTAGCTATTGATAAAATGAACCCCTAGATGAGTTTTGATGCACAGACATATTCCTTTATTTATGAATGTACAGATTAAAAAAAATATAATAGATGGTTACATTTATTAATGATGGTTATTTGGTGAATGAATCTCAGTTGAGAGAATAATTTGGTTTGTGGGTAATTCACATTTATTGTTATATAGTATTGATGGTTATTCACTTGAGTGTATTTACTAATGTTTAATCATTGCACAGAGCTTAAGTTAGCTTCCACTGAGCATGAGCACACTTTGTATATAACTCATCTTTTGTTGATTTGAGCCTAGCATGAGAATGATTATATGAACAGTAAGGGTTGTTTTTACAACACAGCTTGGTTAGATGAGAGGTGGACATGAATGATACGACCTGGAGGGTCGTAGCACAGAGTAACACAGCGAAACAAATTGGTGGTGAAGTGAAAGTGGGAGTAACCTCCTTTTGTTAAGCTGTTATAGTGTATAGTTAAGTTGATTTAATGTAAAATTTAATGATCAGTTTGAATTTATATTTGCTAAATGTTAAAACTGATGAACCAACAAAATTATGTAACCAGAGAATTGTATTGTGAACCTGATTGAAAAAGAGTAACCTATGGAGTTTCTTGCTCGTTCTTCTCCATAGGAGTCTACACCTTGGAATGAGCAAATAGCTTCACTTTTAATTTTTCTGTTGCCGTTCAAAAGTGAAATGAATGATTTTGCCTAAAACAATTACGGCCTTAACGAAGGGACTCGTCAATGAGTCGGATGGCCGACTGTTACAGTCACATATTTTATCGCTCACTATATTTATATTTGTGACTAACAATATTGTCTAAGTATTTCAAACACTATAATGCCTGTTAGTAATATTGTGGATTGATTTAGTTTTCGAACGTGGCAACACTATCCTTGTCGGGCATTCGCGCGGTTTTGTTTTTGACAGCAACAGATTAATTTTTGTAAAACAATATAAACAAGTGAATACAAATTATTTTTGAAGAAGTCTGAGTTTTAATTAAGATCACCATCCTTCTGAGCGTTTTACTCATAAGTTTAAACTTAATTGAATTAATTATAAGTACCTATGTCATGTGTCCTAAGGTCCACATTGCGTCATTTAACAAAAAAACGATAGGCGGATTTTACGTCGCCGCTTTGGGATAGTTTCTAAGCAAGATGCGAGCATTTGTCATTTGTACGCCGCCTATTGTTTATAAAGGATGCTATTTTCTAATGATGCTATGTGGACAGAAACCTTAACTAGGAAAATTGCTCTATTATCAGGCCTGTGGCCAGTAGTGGGAGTGTTGTGGTTGATACGATACGTTAATAAACCATTTCTTCGTGTGAAGGCAACATAAAATATTTTGTATTCAAAACAACTATAGTTATTTTTGTGCAATATACTCAAAATCAACAGTATTAAGACCTTGCACGGTTTTGAACCGTTAAATTCAAATCACTGAAATCACTCGAAAAGGTCAATTCGATTAATATCACATCAATTGTAAGTGTAATTGTAAAAAGTCCATTTATTTTGTTATTGGTGATGTATGTCAGCACCTACACAGTAATAATAACTATATGATCAATAATACTGTTCAAGTTAAGTTCGGCTTTGTCATAATTTTGTTATTAGTTATTTTATATTTCACCAAGCGATTTACCTAATTTATTACCTGCTTAATATAAATAAATATTACGGCTTGATTAGTAGAGTATACTTAATAAGTAATCATTTATTCTTGCTTATCTTCCTAATACTAATTTAGTAATAATAAACATTATTATTCAACTTTTTACACACTACTAGTAACTAGTTCATCAAAAATGCATGCAGCTTTTTTTATTTTCAAAAAGAAACAAGACACATGTCTGTCACGTGATTTTTTAAAAATTTAGCATTAAAATTTTAATAAGAATTATTGAAAGCCTTCTCCAAATTGAATAATACCTAATTTAATTTATATTAATTTATTTATGATTCTATGTATAATGTTCGGTAGTTTTATTTTTACAAATCAATGTAACCTCTAAGTATTTTGAAAGTCAAATCAACACTCGTTCTTAACGATCATTCATTTGTTTCACTAAACCGTGTCTAACTGAATTACTTTGTGGTTTTATGTCTCGATATGTTTATTAAAATTCCACTTAAAAGCTATAAAAGCTAGCTTCTTCAATATAAGTACCTAGAATCAACGTTCCTTATAATGCAAATCATAAAATAGTATACGTTACTAGCGGACATGACAGACGTTTTGCCAAGACCCGAATTCAATGACATCGCCCTGTCAGTTCTAATGGCATACCAAAATTAGCTAAAGATTTACTAAAATACTAACAAGCAAACATTGAAACTGATACTATATAACTGATGAATATAAGAGACTTATATTCTATTATTTTAAAATGCTTATGGATAATTAGTAAGAAGACACATTCAACAAATTCAAAATTGTAATATGTTGGCTAAAATTATCCTCAATTCGACTCACAACTTGTAAAACACACTTCGCGCCATGACCTTTTGACACTTCAAAAAGAAGTCCGCGCCGGTTCTCATTAATAAATTAATATTTAGGGATAATTATGAATAGCCTTCGGACATCGTCAATAAATAAATATAACTATTAGTTATAGAATTACACGTTATCGTCATGTAACTCATTTACAAAAAAATCGCAATTTTGGAAGAACTGTTACATGTTCTACATAGGTAATGCCACGTTGTACTTAAATCGAGTATTCAAAAGATCGTGATGAAGACTCCTAGGTCAAAATCTCAAAGACAAAAAGGTTTGAATTGGAAAACTATAGCACTAAACTATACGTAAATACCCCTTTACCCATTTAATGTATAAACTTCTTGTTCATCCCCAGTTCACACAGGACTTCAAATTTATAAAAAAAATACCTACATACAACGCTTATCTACATAATTATTTGCACAAAATCCTAATCCATGACCCGATACCCGTCATACGGTCACTGATACCATCTCCCGTTCATTAAGTCCTTGTTGATTGAATAAACTAAGAGATTGTTAACATAATTAACAAATATATGCGGGGTGTGCCGATACCAATTATCTGTTACAGTGATAATGTCAGAGGTAATCGATTACTAACTCGAACATGCTATTAATATTTGCAAAAACACACCGATTACGTATTACCCATTAATTTTTTTAAAGCTTTTATTTTAAGTTAGCCAGTAATCGGATATTCGTGATACCTCATAGATGAATAGGCCCGGTTTAGATTTTTGATAATCTAATAATGCGGTTGGTAGATAAAGGTATTAATTTAGTAACAGTGTGGTTTAAGATTGATGATGATCAATTTAAGAGTATTTTGTAATGGGACATCACAAAAGAGATACTGCGACTGATACAGGAATCAAAACTTACTTAAATTTTGAAAGTCACGTTTGTAACCAAAGCGGTTACGATTGTTTGCGATTTATATATTAATATTTAGACAAAATATTAATTTCTACATAAAATCAAAGGAATTTTCCTTACTCATAACGTTTAGTGATTTTTGTAGGTAGTATATATCTATTTATTTTGGTGATACTTAAAATTAATTAGATAACCGACGCCGGTTTGGCCGGTTCTTCGTCAAATTATTCTTATTCATTACTTGACCATCACATTTCAACTCGGATAAAATAATAAAAGAGAGTAAATCATATTTTAAATAAGCATCGTTAGTTCGGCTTGTGAACTAGTTATTTTAATTTAATAACGTGCATTAAAGAGTAATTATAATTAAAAATGATTTAAACAGGGATTGGAGAATGAAACTGTTTAGTAATGAGTTACGTTAGCTTTATTCATAGTAGAAAATTATAAAATACACATCACAATGTGATTATGAGTATTGTTGCATCAGCCAACTTGAAATCTATTGTGCAGCTGGGGCGGCTGCCTGGGGTGGGGCGGCGGTGGCGAGGTAGGCGAGGGCGCGCTGGATGGCCTCAGGTACCGGGGGAGCGGTGGGCAGATGAGCGCCAGCTGGATGGTATCCATTCTCATCAGCGGTGTAAGTCAGGTGGATGGGGTCGCCGTTCTCGCTAGGGTAGGAGTACTCTCCCTGCACTTCCAAGGCCTCGACGTCACCAACCTTCTTCAGCTCTCCCTTCTGGTCAGCAGAGATACCATTGCCAGTTTCGAATGCATATTGGTAGGATCCGTCGCCGTTGATCTGGCTGTCATCCTTTACAATGGGGATGGGCTCTGCAGGGGCTCCTTGTTGTGGGGCAGCGAACGCCACCGCAACCAGCATACAAGCCAACACCTGTATTAAAAAAAACATACATAGTTAGAAAGTGAACTTATGGACTATACAAATTATTATAAAAACAAGAGCGTTAATCTCAAGATGTTCCTAATGAAGTAATTAACTAATTTATTTTATGAGCACTGGTATGTTTCAGTTCAATGTATATATATTTTGAAGCGTTGTTTATATTATTTTCCAACTGAATCACTACACACAAAACTGAGTTTTCCTCTGAACACGTCACTAAACTCGTGATTAGCAACACTATGGTTTACAAACTGTTAAAGCACTGGTTTATCTTAAACACTTACAATAGATTTCATTTTGTTATGTTTAGTGATGATGGAACAAGCAGTGATAACTGTTGTCGACTGATGCTTTCAGTCCTGAAAATTTGAGTTTTTATAGTTATCACATTTGCCCACCTCCCTACATCCTAGTTTCACAATTCATTGTTGTGTCGCAAAATCTATGAAATAAGTAAACATTGGATGCATTACCTCGCCTCGTGTATGTCAACTTGACGGCGACGTAATGGTAAACAACAAACATAACGGATCTCCCATTTGTTCAGTATTGGCCTTAGTAGCGCAAGCTGTGTTTGCATAAAAGATTTACATTCATACAAATCGACAATTACCCACGGCCGAATTTGTCACAGTTACTCAAATTCTCAAACGTATCGTACGTTTATCGTAATAACATCGTACGATTCTAATACTAAACTTCCTTTCCATCATTGGCATTTAAAAATTGAATTTATAATATGTGTATTTTTGTAGTAGTAGGTAACATTTTAATAGGCAATAAACTAGTATAATTATCATATGTACACGCGTTCTGACTCTTCTCGAGGTGAAGTTCACGACATAGGCGCGTGATGATAGAATTTCTTCAATGGCTCGTAGCGAGCTTCAAGTACCGCACTTAGATAGTACAACGCCTATTACGTAAAGCTCTCGAGAGGATCCATGACACATCGATCCAATCAAGTCTATAGTTTCGCCATCGTATCACGAATAATGAGCATGGTTATTAACCTCCCCGTCTATTACGTAATTTTGTCCATATACAACTGTCATCACATAACAATTATATGAAAATGATTTACACCCTATGTTCCTACATATAAAACTATGTTCCGATACATAGTTTCATTATCTATGATGGGATACTGTATTTTATGTAAAAGAATAGAGTATTTTAAAATTTTCATTCGCGAATATCATGTTGTCGTACAATGTTGATGTGAATAATCGATATAGACACATTTTATTTTATTTATTTTATTCTTACATTAATAAAACTTACAGCTGAAATTAACAATTATATACATAATTATGGATATAATTAACATATTATTAAAGTAAGGCTAATACAAGTTTTCACATATACTATACATGCATCATCGGTTACCACCAGGCGGGATAGTAGGCAAACGTCGGCTGATCAAATATATAAGAAAAAACAAGATCTACATCTTTATCTGACGACAAATATTTTAGAGCTTTTATAAGAATACTGTATGAAAGCATGTTTAAATGGCATACTTTTAAATTGTAAAGGTACGTAGTTTAGAAAGAATGTTTTCGAGAAGGACTGCTTTTTTATTCTACTACAAAGTTTGGTTCATTAGAAAAATATGAATGTAATAAGTAGAAAATTACGATTTATATTGTTACTAAAAGTACACATAATTGTCAAAGTAAATACTCAATAAGAAATAATATTATACCTAATTCGTTTAAAGCCATTATAGATATTATGCATGGCCTTAAGGTAATACGCTATAAAGTGCTACAAAACCACAGAGCAACAATAAACGATGACGTTGTCTTAAAGACTGGATTAATACAGTACTAATGTGTTTTCCCAAAATAAAATTCGCTTCGGTTATTCAGGTTCGCCAATAAAATAGAATCGTAAAACAACGTGTTAATAGAATATTAAAATTCCTAGTAAAAATAGAAAAACGTGTCATTAAAAGACTAAAGTTCAATTCCTAGAATACATAAATAGAACTAAGATCGCAAATTGATAAAATAAACCCGTCAATATCTGGGTATTGTAAACAGTTGTCTTTGTTCTACCAATTTGCACAAGTTCAGGTCTTACATTCTAATTTCACTAAGTACTTTCAGTGTTTTCTTTTTTGACACTGAGGTCTTGATTTTATCGTCTGCCTTCACCAACGACAGTCGACTCGGTGAGTGCAATACGCTAAAACATTTTATTTATTTGCTGGTTCCCAAGTTAATTTTCTTGTCATCTACATACTCGGCTATAGAGAAGTTTCTATTGTTAGCACTGAGTTCTGTCTGGGCCTATTATATACTAGCTTGCTTTTCATCATTTGATTTGAACTGTCAGGTCTCATATTAAACCTGATATGTGTCAATATGTGGTGATTCCATACCTTATGTTACAATTAAGTGCGAACCTATGAATAGCAATTGCTAAGTCACTCTGACACATATATAGTCAATCATTTAAATAGTCGGTATCGGATCAATACAGCCTACAGTATTATGCAAGTGAATCCATCCATAGTAGTCTTTATGAATAGGTATTCAGACAACAAAAGATTTCTCTTATATCTCTTATGTAAATCGTATTGTAGATATTTTAGTGAATAGAATGTCTTCAGGCAATTTTTGATATTGCTGCATTAACATCTATTTGTTGGGAGTGGCCCACGGGTGACTTATGTATGGCTATGATAATTTGATGAAGTCATTTGACATTTAAATCTCCAGTTAATATTTGTTCAAATAATGATATTTTTTGCGAATAATCGAATACTTTATTTTTTACAGCGTTACGTCTCTTCAGATTTCGTGGAAGTAGTAAGTCTTTGTATACGTGAGGCGCACGGTAATATAGGTCATCTGATTTGTATCTATTTAAATGTATGTAGTGTATGCAAAATTAATGTCATCGTTCCAAAAAGATGACAGAATAAGTAGCCAAATAGAACTGGAACCTTGTCGTGTAGTGGGTGTAAGCCGGGTTTTAAACCTTGGTGAGCTAAGTCAGCTGGCTGGGTTTATTTGTGATATAAACATGCAAAAAACGTATGAGCAACCTCACGATATTTTTATAATAGAATAGATAGTAAGTAGTACCCACAATAAATAAATGTGCAGTTAATAATTTAGGTCCTAATATGAAAAATTTTAGAGAGCTTTTCTTATTCTAGTATTTAAAAACAAATAAAAAAGGCCAGAGGCTGTTTTAAATACCACTATAAGATATTGAGAGTGTACCAATAAAACACTTGGAACTACGATAGACACGAACAAGTGTTTATTTTTTTAAGTAGGTAAGTTCATATTTATATACATAACATACATAACGTAAACCTATTACGAATGAACACAATAGATGACAGGCTAGAGCTATCGTTGTATGCTGAAACTGTTTGTGTGGTAAGAAACTTATTTATTTATATGGGTAAATAATATATTGTGACTCCTCTGGTGTTGCGGATGGCCATGGGCGGCGCTGATCGCTTACCATCAGGTGATCCGTCTGCTCGTATGCCTCTTAATCCATAAAAAAACAAGATGAACTTAATTCTGATTAATAAACGGCTAATTAAACTTAAGACATCGTCTCCTAGTCTAGCTGAGTGGTTGGCACAAACAGAGACAAGGCATGCCAGATACAATAACAGAAAAGTGTAATCTGTACAAAAAAGCATCATATGACCGTGCCATACAATGTGAACACACAAGTGTGCACATGTCTGGCGCCGGCATTTATGCATTTTTTTTTAAAAAATAAATTTAAAAAGCTAAACTGTCTAGTCTACCCGGATAACAACAAAACATTCCATTCCGAGCCAGACGTGTCGGGTTACGCAAATTATAACCTTCGTAATTAGCCATGATGCATAGTTCTCTTATTTTGGGTGTTCTTCGATGTTTTTTGTACCTGTATGGGGCATGTCGATGTTCAAGTGACCTTGACACGAAGTTGCAGGGAAAGTGAACAGACCGGTTATTGAGTAAGGGGTCGAGCCGAACGAACTTCAGCCGCTTAGGACGCGGACACATGTGACGGATATGATATTACGATGGTAACCATTGTCATCATTTCAACTATGTTGGAAAGTATGGCCTAATGCACTGATTATTGAAAAATGTAAATTTCTATACAAATTATTGGACATTCATTTTAAAATTCGTTAAATTAATCAAAAATATATTGTGTTCTGACTGGTAGCCTAAATAATTGTGTAGTGTTAAGTGTTGTATAAATACCAACGCGGTTGTTTTAATCTGTCAAACACCGAGCGGTCACCGGTGACCGCGACCTATTGTTCTTTAATTGTGTCTATAAAACCGGTACTCGACGAGTTAATAATTGACAGTCCACGAACACTAAAGAGCTGTCTAACTCAAGCGCAGGGTGTAATTACCATTGACAGCCCCGTGAGTCGATAATCACCAGACTGTTATAAACTATAACCTTGTGAATGAACAAACAAACATTTAATCTCCAGCTTACGAAATGAAATTATTAGATCAAAATAAACGGTTTTTAATTGAGCTCTAACTGGCCACCAATTATTTTGCGCAATCCTTATACCGTCTAATTTTCACCTAAACATATTTTTTGTACGTCTATTACTAATAAATCCTTCTCCGATTAAATCAAGTTACGACTTGTCACAAAAATAAAATCAAGTTCTTATCAAGTATCAAAAGAAGAAACTTGTTTTAGCAGAAATTCCAATAAAACGAGATGCTTAACATAAAACCATAATATATTATGCTTTGCAAAAAATAAAATTATCTTAACTACCTATCAACAGATTACACATTATGTAACATCCTTTTTTTGTATCTTTTTTCTTTAGCGGTATACCTAACTAGAGTAAACGAGTAAACTATGACTGAGTTTCATTTGAATAAGTCCTAGCCCATTAAACGATGAGTCTAATTCCTTCCATAGTCTCTATTTTCTGGATTAGGTGGAGGCAGAGTAGCCAAGTAGTCCAAAGCGCTCTGGATTTCTCTGGGGATCGGTGGTGATGTTGGAATGTGAGCACCCTGCGGCTGGAATCCATTCTCATCAGCTAAGTACTGCAGTTGGATTACCTGAAATATAAATAGAAAACGTTAAAATTTGAACGTTATTAGGTACTGTACGGCCTTTTTCAATTGCATTAGTCTTTAGGACAACTGCTGTCTACTACTTCGAAGAATTATAAGGATGACGTTATGTTATGTAAATTTTTGGATGAAAACAAAATATTCTATGATTACAGGCGAGACGACCTTTCATCGGAGGTATTTATTATTTTTGCCTTGGTAAGTTTTACATGTGTATGAAGGTAACGTGCCATCACTTAGAACGTCAGGAAGGCAAATTGAAGGAATAATGATACATGTCCTAGAAATAACGTTGTAACTGTAAATAGCTACAAGCACTGACGAGTGATGTGACATTTTTTCCATAGACCACGGGCAAAGTCGCGCACGCAAAACTAGTAACATTAATACCACAAAGTCATTGAAATACGATTGTCTGTTGTTTACATTTATTATGTCTTCGTTTACTTGAATCTTAGACAGTTCGTGGACCTTAAAAATGTTTGCTTTGACACATTGTATCCGGTCTGCTAGCCATGTAAAGTCGACAAGGATAAAAATATTAACAACATCCTATAATTTCCTAAAAGAGACATTTCAATAATTCTGTTCTATTTACTTGTGTAACTGACACGTTTGAAGAAGATTGAGGAAAAAATTGAAGGCTATTGGATCAGGTATCAACATCTTCGAAAAAAAGATAAATGAATAGCTTGTCAGTAGATTAATCAGTGAATAGGCGGAAGGCTCAGTCAAAATGACAACATCATTCTAAAATTAAAGATTAGTATGACTTGGTAACCACTATTCAAATATTATATTTAGACGTTTGTCATAAGTTTAATGACTAACTTTTAAAATAATGCAAGGATATAATTTTTATATTTGATATTTGTCTGACCCGAAAATAAACCTCAGAATTCTATAATATTGTTTGTGGCGCCACCTGTTGTTGAATTGAGTTGATTGCAACTTATAGTAAGCCTGCAAAGTTTACTATTCAGTTACTTTTCTAAATAATGGTTGCTCTACCCTTTCTCTTAGGCGCGTATCTAAAGTTACTTAGTAAAACCTGCGTAATATTAACGAAATACTTTGATTTATGTACAAATAAATAATATATACATTTTAATATTTCAGTAAGCTTCTCGATTAGGTACAAAATTATTATAAATTGTTGAATAAATGCATATAATTTTCGATTCATATCATTAAAATTCATACACGTTTTAGTAATTTGCATGTTGCATACTTTTTTGGTGGCTTCAACTATCTTATACTTACAGATTAAAAGAATATCTAGCAGCTTACTCGATAATTTTCCTGTTAGAACTGGAAAATCTTGATGACACGTGTTTTATATGTGTAACATACATACTCATGAATATAAAATGTATACTTTCTCGCAAGATTAATTAAGTATTACATCTTATCAGTCCTACACTGAAGGTGAATATGGAGGTCCATATACCAAACTTTATCAACACCTTTTTTTCAGTGACTACGCTAGTCGTTTCTATTCCTTTACACTAGACGCAATTTTGTTCTCTTCCTTACCTATCATACACAATTTCAAAAAAAAAATTCATTTATATAACTACTTGTTCAAAGCTCTCACGCATGATATCAGTATGAGGTAAATAGAAAATATGACCAAATGCGATTGATATTTACCTGTCCATCAGGTGCTGTGTACTGGTACTGTCCCTGGGCAACCTGAGCTTCCTGTTCTGGTACACCTTGATTCTTCACATACCCTTGTTCTTCTGCCGATATGCCGTTACCCGTCTCATAACTAAGGCAAAAGAAACAGATGTTATATTAGACATTCTATATAAGTGTTCAGTTTAAAATATTTCAATACAATTTTCTGTTAAGATTGCAATGAAGTCTTTAATTTGAATTGGAAATGTATTTGACAACGATCTTTAAACAAATATAAAAGTTTTCCAAGGATCTGGTATCCCATGTTTGTCAGTTTTAACATAGTGTATTGAGCATTAAGTATTTTAAACGATTGATGATTAACCTTCAGGATTCATATACATGTATTTTTTGTTACGTATAATTCTATTTTTCATCTTCTTGTCTATGTTTAAGTTATAAGTGAAAATATAAAAATATACTTATATAAATTTACACCTTTAAACATCTTTTGAACTTTTTTTTGTCAGTAAGAGTCTGACAGTCCCTTTCGTCCTCCCCAGGCGAGGGAGCTCCATGAGGATTTCCCACCTTGGGGTTAAAAAAAACATCTTTTGAACTGAACCAGAATGTAGACTAGCTATAACGACATTTTCTGATCACTATAGGGACGTCTTCTTATCAATAGTGAAGACTTCCTTTCAATAGATTATAATTTGATATTGTATAATTGTATTATATTATAATTATATTTGATATAGTTAGTTAAATTAGTGCAATTTGATATTATTAAGTTAGATAAGTATTATGGTAACTTAAAATCCCTTATGTGCTTGTTAAAAGTTTGAAAGCTCATCTAGTCTTCTGAGCCGCGGAAGGCCTAAGAAGGCCTCGAAGAGCAGGAATAGAAACAGGGTGGTTTTAGTCAGTAAGAGTCTGACACTCCCTTTCGCCTAACCCAAGGTGGGAGAAGCCACTGGATCAATTTCCCCCTCAAAAAAAAGGAATCTACTAAACAAAAGACCTACCTCCACTTGTAAGATCCATCAGGGTTCTGGACATGTTCCTGCCGTATGATGGGGATGGGTTCCGTAGTGTACTGCTGTGGCTGTTGTTGCTGCTGTTGGTATATAGCCTGTGGTTGGAAGGGCTGGAAACTGCTGACGTCAGCGTACACCGCGCCAAACACACATGCTAGGAGTATCTGGAAATAAGGAACATGTATTTTGGATCAATGATAATGGATAATGGACACTTCTTATAATCCCAAAGCCACTCTTTACTATTTTCATTAATAACAGGAAAGCAAGGAGTTGTAACATAAAACTAAGCTAATAAATGCACTCTGTTCTAAAAAAGTACGAGGCCAAGAATATAATTTGAGGACTTATGAAACTTACAACACACTTCATGTTGAACCAAGTAGAGTGCAGTAAGAAGGATGCGTGTATTACAAAAGCAATACAATGATGCATTTTGGATGCACCCCCGGTATTTATACCGAAAACTTTTGTCGCAATTACACATCGCAACGGATTCTGTATATATTTTATGATCATGTGTACAACGAAGGACAGTTGGCGTCCCTTATGGTACCGAAACATCGCAAGAAACAATTGAATAAGGACTTAATTCTCTTACCAATAAGACTTAAATGGCACGTATAAAGCGCAAGATGAAATTGGAAATTATTGCTTTTTCGTAAAATTTTAATACACACATTCATTTTAATTTTATTGCTATAGTTTTTTGTAATGTTGCACGTTGAGGAGTAATGAGCCTGCTAATTAATACGTGATCGGAATTTTTAATGTTTATATGAGTCGCTTCAGTTCATTAAAGACATGTAAAACATCACATCTTTGAGCTTAACGTTGTTTTCCCTCTTATGTATTGTGATTATAAATCTATCTCTAATCTAAATCTTAATAAAATCGTAATCAATTATGAATGAAATAATACAGCAAGTTGATAATGAATTTGCTAAATTCCCATCGAACGCAATCACTACTATAATACAGTTTTAAGAATGTGACGTAATTTGTAGCAGTAAAGTTAACCTTAACTAGGCACATCAACGGAGGCGGATCTCAGAAACCAGTCGCATCTTAATTGTGTCATACTGTAGTTCAAAGAAAAAACTTGTCAAGAACAAGTCGAATTCGGGGAATTACTATTTTATTCCTTATTCATACAATAAGGATAATCATTATGATACAAAGTCTATTAACCGAACTTTCACGCTACATTTTCAACTCTGATTCATAGTAAAGAAGGTTGATTATCTTGTGAACATGCCCACTGAACTCTTGTTTACGTAAACGTTAAGAAACAATAAATGCATTAATTTCTCTATATAGGGATCCAAATATAATTATATATATTTACTAATTTAAATCAATATTTTAGGCTGAAAAGAATGCAAAAAGGTATTACATTTCTGAAAATTCAAAGCACACTCCAGTGATTCAAACGAGAGCGAGAGAGGAAACTTATTATGTACCCACTGGTTCTATTTTTAGCAGAATATTTTTAATAGAACATTTTTGTCAATAGAGTACATAGATAGATATAAAATAGAGAAAAGAGGTCGCACTGTTATGGATTAAGAAGTGTGCTGTTACATTACATTTATGATAATTTTGTCACGAACTTCTTGAATGATTTCAGTCACAGGATCATAAGTCTCGCAGATGATCTCAGCCACACACCTCGCAACAATCATACTCCTTAAAGTTATGGCTGGAAACATGAGTATAAAAATTCTTATCAACGTTTACATGAAAAGATACGTGTAGGTATTCTGGTGTCTTACAGACTAATTCATTCCTTTGTGGTAGGTACCTGGTTTTGTTATTTAATTACCTACTTATCATCATCATCATCAACAGCCTATAAATGCCCACTGCTGAGCAAAGCCTCTTCTCACACGGAGAAGGTTAGAGCATTAATCACCACGCTTGCTCAATGCGGGTTGGCGATTTCAAACTTATAATTAGAAATTATAAGTCCAGGTTTCCTCACGATGTTTTTCCTTCACCGTTTGTCAGTGGTGTCTAAATAATCTTAGAAAGTACATATAACTCGGAAAAAGTCACATTGGTACTTGCCGTTGGTAGGTTTCGAACCCGCACCCTCATGCATGAGAAGTGGGCGTGTTAAACCTCCGGGCCACCACGACTTTACCTACTTATGTACGTAGGTTATTAAATTATGTTCATGCCATTGGTTTATTTTTAATTTTCTTATTAACCCGTTTCATTAAATTATGGGATGTCTAGGCCGTTCATATTTCTTTCACAGTTCACAGTTCTAAATGTCTTGCAAAAAATAAAGCAAATAAACCACTAACTTCATAAACATTTTATACAAAAGTAGTTTTAGTTGGCTGAATTACGACTAAACTTTTAAACCTTTTTATAACGAATGTAACAAAATTAATTAATGATGCAGTCAATAAACTATGTAAGTACGTCAGGCATTACGCTTTTCGGCTATTCATCTTAAACGCCATAATGATTTATATGAAGTGCGGCACACTGGTATAAGTACATATTACGCAAACGACGGCATGCAACATCTTTAAAAGCCGCCGAAGGTATGCAGCCAATGGAGTAGGGTTTTAAAAAGGATAGGGAAAACACTAACCTTATACCTTTACCAGTTTAAAAGACCTTTAAATTATGCTTCATAGAAGTAAGTTTAATTACAAACAAATAATTTATCAATACTTTCCATACCAGTTTAATAAACGTGACGCACGAGTTGACGTCACATCAAACCGAAATTGCATTTAAATTATTCAAAGGCCGGTTGCTCTTTTTATAATTGCCAATTAATATTTGAATACTAGAGTTGTTCAAAAATTGTTCTTGTCTTGTCACCCTTCATCATTAATAGAGGTAGAGAACAGATCTTTAAGCATAGTCTTGTCTAGTCAAATCTTTTAACGATATAGGAAGAAATTAAAACAAACCGCTTTATATCACAGGTTTTAATCATGTACCATTACAAATATGCATTTTCGTTTATATATACAAAAAATTGCATCTTATTTTTCAATTTATTTTTAAACAGATTCCTTTTTAGTTTCTTGGTTAGAATTTTTGTTTTGGATTCCGATGCGATAAGGATTGTAGGTATTGGGATTGTAGTAAGGATTGATCTTTGTGGGGTCGTAGGGATACCTGGGGTCGTAAGGCCGGTTGTAAGGCCCAAAGTTGTTGTACCGGCTTCTGTAAGGGTCATAACGGTTGTATGTTGGGTCGAAGATTTGTTTATTGATTCCGTCTACAGGTAGAATGGGTGTAGCTTTTCCATCAGCAGGAATGTGCACCCCTGAAGGTCTGAACCCTGGAATTTAAAAGAAAAGGATAATTTAAATTAAGATATCGTAAAAGATTTTTTAAAGTTCACATTTTAGGCTATAAAAGCACAAAAGACCATCGATAGTGATTTGCATTAATCAATAAAATTATAGTGTTCATGACATTTTTCAGTACTTAAATGGCAGTATTCATATTTTATCTGAATAAATTTAAATAGATTTACTCGCAATGGCGCCTGGCTACATGTAACACCATTTATGGGATTTGCATCATACGATGTAAGAAATTCTTTTTCGTATGACACTTTTTAAGCAAGTTTCTTTTACTTTACACAGCGTAATAATGAAATACATTATTATGAAGTCTTATTCTCTTGAGATAATTATGTTGATATTTTTTAATAAATCTATGAACACGTGAAATAAAATGTTTCTTAATTAATACTATTTACCGTTTTCGTCAGCGACGTAGCTCACTTGAATAGGTGTACCTTCAGGCGAGATGTAAGCATAACTTCCTTGTACAACCTGGAAAGCCAAAGTTCAATTGAATTATTTATAAATGGAACTATTTATGTTCTACGCCATATTTATATAGGTAACATTGAAATGAACAAATAATAAGATAATTAAAATTTTTACCTGCGTTCCTTGTGGGTTTCCAGCGTTATCAATGAAAGCATCTTTCAAATATCCACTTTCTTGAGCTTGCTTACCATCAGCGGTCGAAAAGCTGAAACACGCATATAGATCACAATTATAAATCATAATTAAACGTAGCAATGTTAATGTTGCAATGCTTTAAATTTGGCTACTTCGAACACCTACAAAGGGAGTGGCTAATGACATTTGAAGATATCCTTAATACTAACTTTACAAAACTTTTTTTTTAAACCGTAAATATACCTATGTATATAGTATGGCTGATTGGTGTTAAACATGTTTTACATCCATATCTATACCCCTGAACTTAAAATTAACCTCAGTATATTTATTTATCATTTCATGTACCCACACCATACAGACAATATTACAAGACACAACACATTATAGGTAAGCATGAGGTACATAGGTACTGCATATCCCTTAAGGGATTTCTTCCTGCAGACCTGCGACAGGAAAAGGAATATAAACATAAGACATAAGACACAGTGTAAATACATGCAACGAATACAAAACAAAATAAAATTAATGAAAGAACTTAAAACTAGAATGACCGTAGTATAAGAATAAAATATAAACTTAAGCAAAATATAACAAACATAATAAATAAAATAATTAGAAATATTTAAATATGATTACATATATATATGTATATTGTATGTATACATAGATAAATATATACATAAATAAAGCTGTACTTCAGGACGAAAGATAATAATCCCTGACAAGTCGTTTAAAAATGGAGATGGATTTGGCGTCGCGAATGCTAGGCGGCAGCGAATTCCACAGTCTCACCGCATGAACCGTGAAGGAGTAGGAATAGAAATCGGTTTTATGTTGAACGATTTCAAGAAGAGACTTAAGGTGGGATCTAGATAGGGCTTCAGGAGGACGAGCCAAGGAAAAGCGGTACGGAGATATATAGGATAGGCTGGGTTGTTAAGGACATTATAAAGGAGACATAAAATGCGAGTGTTCCGGCGAAGTCGGATTGGGAGCCACTTGAGCTTACTGCGATATACTGAGACATGATCGTACTTCTTAAGATCGAAGACAAAGCGAATACAAACGTTTTGCAGCCGCCCAAGCTTGTTTAGTAGCTCCTCAGTGACGTCCAAATAGCAAGCATCTGCGTAGTCGAGTAAAGGCTGAATTAAGGATTGTACGAGGAGAATTTTAGTTTTAAATGGCAAGAAGGACCGGAGACGCTTCAGCGAGTGAAAGGAGAAATGGACTCTTCGACTGACCTCACTCATATATATGTGACATTTCGTTCAGTTTACAAAAATCGAATTGTTAAACATCTACAAATTGCACAAAACTGTAATTTGGACAGGTAAAAATTTTACACCTGGCACTAACCTGAAGGCATAAGTTCCATCAACACCATGTTCGCTAGAATACGACAGGATAGGAATAGCAGGGCCACCAGCGTAGTTGTAATAAGGATTATTATTGATGCCAGGCAGAACGGGCCTAGCACCTGGAGCAAGTGGAACGGGGGTAGGAATAACCGGCCGGACTGGTGATGCAAAGGGAACCGTAGTTGGTACTACCGGTGTGGACCCTGGGACAAATGGGAATGGCGTTGGGACTACAGCAGTAGGTGGTATTACAGGTGCTGCCGGGAATGGAAATGGAAATCCCGCTATCAAAGTGCTGTACAGCAACACACAGCTGATGATACGGAACATCTGAAACACAGTAAATGGAATAGTGCACAGAGGAACACAGAGAACGAATTTTTATCCTTCATCGAAAGTCTCTATTGACTGATTTGACTACTACACGCAAATTTACCATTACTGAATGTAGCATTGTAATTCAGATAACAAACTTAGTAACCTGACTCAACAATCAGGTAATTTTGGAAACCCAAAATGTATGGTCTAATTTTGTACTCAATTTTTTGCACGAAGTTAAACTAAAAACAGCACTTTATTTCAGTGAAGATATTTTTTTTGTTAATAAATTAACTCTCAAATAATTCATTTACCTCAACAATTCTCAAATCAGACTGCACTCGTTGTACTCAAACTGTAACTGTTAGCGTGGGACCCAAATATTCCATTTATAGGCAGCAGGGTTGCACTGTGCGGATATTTTTTTGTTGAGCCATCGCTCAAACGTGAATGTTACACACGTCTCTTTAACTCATCAGCTGTTATTAACCGCGTTATAGTTACAAATACCCAACTAGTAGAAGTGCACAAAGCTCAACACGAACACGATGCCTGTAATCATTCAGCAATTTTAAGTCCAAATTATGTTAAATGTTACAGGGCGCAGTTACTGTAAGACATCAACACAATTAGGTTTATTACGGAATATCTAATGGTTGGGTGGTCTATAAGCACCTCGCATCTTGTGCGCATGTTAAGTGAATTTTAATTCTTTGTTTCAATGGGGTAGATGACTAATTTTTATTTTAATGTCCGTCTTGTAGATTATTTTAAATCATTAAATATGTATTTTTTAATTCCTTACAGATACAAATACTTTCGACGATATATTGATTTGAAATGTCGCGTGACGTCACTTCTAGAGACGTTTTATACGTAGAAATGACGGTTTTACTCCCACTCCTAAACTTTTTGATCCGTTTTATCTAAGTACCTGTCATCATCCCTATTATGAACCTCACGGCAATATCTAGTTTTGATAGTTCACTACTGGTTTAGACTATCATAATAGATACGACGGACGGTAGTATCTACGTGGTGTCATAGCTGATTATGGTAATATTTTTCAATTAGGGTTTGAGTTGGATCCTCAAATCCCGATGCTGTGTTTAAATCAATTAATTACAAGTGTGATCGAGGTGAATCTATCCAAAGTGGCTGTCGACCATTCACATTTGTCTCAAAACCAATGAAGTATACTATTTCCAAAAGGTCCCAGATCTGAGCCACAGATCATCAGCTCTTCATATCCAACTAGGATGTAAAGATCGACTGTATTTAAGTCCTTAATATTATCGTTGTTGAACATGCATTCTATGATAGCATGCCGTTGAAAAACCTATGTATGAAGCATCACTTAAATTGTTCTTTTTTTATGGAATTGGAGGCAAACGAGCAGACGGATCACCTGATGGTAAGCGATCAGCGCCGCCCGTGGACACCCGCAACACCAGAAGAGTAACAGGTGCGTTGCCGGCCTTTTAAAAAGGAGTACGCTCTTTTCTTGAAGGTTTGAAGGTCGTATCGGTTCGGAAATACCGCTGACGACAGATCATTCCACAGTTTTGCTGTGCGAGGCAGGAAGCTACGTGAGAACCGCACAGTTGTGGCCTGCCAGTTCTTAATTGAGAACCACGATCACCCTTGCAAAGGTGAAATTACTTGAAACAAGACTCGGAAATGCTATCTTAACTACCTCCATCGTTACTTTTCATACACAAATAGGCTAAACATCATATTATATATATATAAAGTACCGGGACTCCTACCATAAATGGCAATTGGCAATATATCATAATTATGGCATTTGTTATTATTATACCTCTGTTTCACATTTCGAAGAAAGAAGGGCATCATGTCATATTATTTCAAAGTGTTATACATGTTATATAAATAAAACTATGAAAACAGTCCCACCGACGCATATTCATGACAATAGTAAGAAACATTAGTTGATTATGTAACCGGTAATTTAATTAAGTATTTCATAACTTTCCCGTAGCCAGCATTATTTTGATATGCATTAAAATAGGCACAAGCCTAGTGTTCAAACTTTAATATTTATATTTGAACTCATTAGGCTCTATAATTACAAGAAGGCCAAGAGTTGGATTTTCATTATTCTATGCGTTAAGATAGTGATCTTATTGTCAATTAATTTACATGGGTTACATCAACGTTAACTAATTACACGAAGAACAGTTTTTTGGTACATTATTACGGATCTTGCGAATTAATTCGTTGAATAACATTAATTAATATATCATGTTTCTAAATCTGTTAATAAAGAGAACATTGCTGTTTTGGTTAAGGTATGTTGTTAGATGGGTCACCATTATGTTCTGATTAAAAGGATGTAACTGCTTTGATATAGTTGATTTAATAAAATAATGACATATAGTGGGTGGACTGTGTAGTTACCATTAGTACATACCTATTTTTATATCCATACTTGTGGTAAGTAGTAGGTAATATGTGTGAAAAAATAAATAGTAGAGGTGTTACTAGATAGATACCGAGCCCAAAAATATGATTATAAAAATTTTGTTTATCTGTCTGTCTATATGTTCACACACCACGCAAAGACTACCGGTACTATTACGATAAAATTCGATATGATTATGCTTTAATTTCCTGGGTACAACACTGGGTACTTTTAATCCAGAAAAAGTACATATATACACGATAACACAAATTGAATTATGCTGCTGAATCCCTAGACACAGTTATTGTACCAAACGCAAATATAAGTTTGTCGAATGTTAGATTGCCCGCAGTGGACTTTACGCTGTAACTGTAGGGTCAATGGTTGAAATTATCTTGAACCAATACTATAAATGTGAAAATATGTGAGTGTATGTATGTTTGTTACTCAGTCACATCAAAACGGCTGACGGGACCGGGATGAAATTTGAAACAGAGGTAGAATATGGTCTGGAACGCGGACGAAGTCGCTGGCAGCAGCTAGTTAATTATAAACTAATACTGAAAAGATATCAGAAATAGTTTATCGTATAAAGCAAATAAAATTATTAAAACCTACAATTTATTAAGAAACTGAATAAACCTGTTTGCTATCGAGTGGCTTCAATAAATGAATTTGTTGAAAAATTATTTCATTGTAATACGAAAGCAGTATGCATAATAATTTTATAATATTTGTAAACAAAATATTTATTTTATTAAATAATTAATACACAATATTAAGTAAGTAAAGTCACGATCACAGTTCTGCGTAAAAATAAACATTGATCTGGTGATGGAGGTGTAGTGACGAACATAATTAGATAGTAGCATGCATACAGACCGTAAGTACGACCTAGGCATTCTTGGAAAATCTTAGGACATAGCATTGCACTTCAGTACGGTACACGTTTCGTTAACAAGCTGCATTTAAGTAAGTTAAGATGAAATACGTTCAAAATTTAAATTTTACACAGCAGTTCAATTATTCTAGATGCATTATTATTTAAACAACATCTCAACAGCATTATAATTAAAGCCGTGTTCGTTTCTCACGAGCAGGGTGTTCTTAATTAATTGGTATTACTTAAGTCAGTGATTCCGTGCTATTGTAAATTCACTATTACACAACTTCTGTTTACTCATCTTGCTGGTCATGGTCCCTTTGTATGTGTACTCGTTGTCACTCATTGATCGGTGGCCTAGTCAATTCATATGGTGTCATAGTCCATTAAATAAAACATACACAAATATGCTCCTGTCTTGAACAAAATAAAGGGACTCTCTGTAGATCCATTTTAGATACAACCAAATTAATAACCATTATATGAACATTGAAAAACCCGAAAAAAAATGGTTTTTTATATTTGATACAAAAACATTCCTAAAGTAATAATAGGTATTCTAATATTTTATTTCAATTAAAATAAAAAAAATTTACCTTTATTCAGATCCAACTGATAACTGTTACATAATTTAAAATTGCCTAAGATTTGCATTACTTAGGTCTAGTATAGCTATAAAGTACCTATTACTTATTTTCTGGAGATCTGACCTTTTCCATTCATTTCATTCTTGAGCTACTCTGTGCCATGTAACTCCTGCCACTTGCCTAAGGTCATCATCCCATCTTTTAAGAGGGCTACCCCTTTTCCTGGTTCCTTCCCCAGGGAAGGAACAGTGGAACAAAATCGTAACCGTAAATCGTACCCTGGGGTACTAACTGGTTACGATTTTTCTCCATTTCTCTTGCCCTCTGATAATATGCCCTGCCCATCTCCATTTCAGTCTTTTTGTTTTTAATGTTACATCTGTGGTTTTTGTTTTGTATGGTATGTCTGTTTTTTCTTTTTCTGTCCCTTTTTTTAACATTTATCATGCTCCTCTCCATTGCGTATTGGCAGGTTGCAAGTTTATTTGACAGATCTTGAGTTAGGGCCAATGATTGGCTACCATAGATGAGGACAGGTAATACGCAGGCGTTAAACAGTTTTCTCTTTTTTTTATTGAAAGGTCTTCATACTTCATAGCCTCCTTGAGACTCCAGTACCTCTTCCATCCACTTGTGATTCTTCTTTCTATTTCTTTGCCCATCGATTGTTTTTGGAGTTATGATCTGTCCCAAATAAGTATATTCGTCGGTGTAAGTAATGTCTGTATTTCCTAGCTGTATTTTGTCTTAGTTTCCGTTTGTCATTATTCAAGTTTTATCTGGGTTAAGCTTTAACCCTACTTTTTCACTTTCCATTGCCAGATTATTTATCATTTTATTTAACTCTTCTGATGTCTTAGCAAATAGCACTATATCATCTGCGAATCTTAAGTGTGTTAACGGGGCTCCGTCTACATTAATCCCAAGATGCTCTCAATCTAATTCCTGGAACACAGACTCCAGTACAGCTGAGAATAATTTAGGAAATGGGGGATCTCCTTGTCTAACGCCTCTCTCTACTCTAAATGGAATCCCTTTTTTTTCTAGTTGGATTTGCGCCGTGCTGCATTTATAGACGTTCTTTATCAGTCGAATGTATTTTTGTTGGATGCCCTATTCAATTAATGCTTTCCATATCTTGTCATGTATCAGAGAGTCGAACGCTTTGCTGTAATTGATGAATGCAATGTAGTATATGAGCTGATATTCATTGTACTTTTTTTAAATTTGGCGCACTACGTGAATGTGGTCAATCACCGAATAACCGCTACGAAAACCTGCCTGTTCTATATGTTGATGTTCGTCCAATATTTTTTCGATCCGTTTTAGTATGAGTTTAGCAAAGATTTTGTATATGTTGGACATAAGGCTAATAGAACGATAGTTACCAATATTGTATTTGTCCCCTTTCTTATAGAGTAGGATTATGTTAGACTTTGTCCATTGCTGGGGAATCGTTTCTGTGTTTATTATTTCATTGAAAATATCTGTAAGGGCAGGTATGAAAACTTCTTTACCTTGTTTTATGATTTTATTGGTTATACCATCTGGTCTGGGTGCTTTGTTTTGTCCTTGAGTATCTATGCTCTCCTTACTTCAGCAGGTAGTATATTTAGAATTTCTGAAGTTTCCGTCAGATCAATTACTTCTTATGTTTTAATGCTTTTGTATAATTTCTTGTAATATAGTGTAGCTGTCCCCAGTATATCAGTTCTGGTGTAGTTCCACTTTTCATTTGCACTTTTAATTGTTACAATCCTGTCTTGCGAATTTGTCAGTTCTCGAAATGCTTTTTGGTTCCACCCATTTTAGCTATGTTTTCTACCTCTATTGTCTCTAATCTTTCTTGTTTCTTGTCCTTCCTTATTCTTTCCTTAATTTCTTTACTGATTGTGGTTGTAGACTTCCTTCTAGCTCGTGTGTCTCTTGCTGTGATTAATTGGTTCCTTTTTTCTAGTAGTTTTAAAGTGTTATCTGTGACGCATTTTTTAGTTCGTAAAGCGAGAATGCTTTAGTGTTTGCATTAGAATGTGTTATGGTTTTGATGGTTTCTTCTATCTTGTTGTATTTTCCCTGTGTCCCCAATGCTTTTGTATGGGCTGTGAAGTTTTGGAGTTTGTCTCTTAGTGCAGTTGTTATTTGTTCCAATTGTTGTTTTCCGACCTTTGTAGTCCTTAGGTTGGTTTGAGATCTGGTCTCAGATTTTTTGGTTGTTTTTTCTTTCAGTTCAGTTCTAATTAATTCTAAATAATTTAATCTATGATTTGTGTAAAAGTTTAGTTTATGGATAACTGAAAAGATAGTGAAACATCTCTTTGTCATTATGAAATCTATTTCGTTTTTAGTTTTTCCATCGGGTGAGATCCAGGTCCACCTATTCTTAATTTTTTTTTAAACAGAGCGTTCAATATTGTTAAATTGTTTTCAAGAGCGAAGTTAGTAATTTTTCACCATTCCTAGTTTTACTTTTTTGCTGTATGTATATGGTCCCAGAATAGTGCTCTCTCCGAAGCGATTATCTCTAATTTGGCCGTTGTCATCACCCATCACTATTAGATTTTTATGGGCATGCTCTTGGATGGCTTTGTTCAGATCAATGTAGAAAGAATCTATTATTTCCAAGTCTGATTGCTTTGTGGGCGAATATATTTGAATTACAGGCCAAGATTCTTTGTATCCTGAGAGTTTCAGATTCATTATTGCAATGCGTACTGAGATACCTATAAATCCTTCTATATACTTTATTAAATGTTTTTTAATAATAAATCCGACTCCGTGACTTCTAAGAGTTTCTACGAAATAATAAATAAGGTAATCAGCATAACACGAAATGTTTTCTCACATTCTTCTCACTTCACTCAAACCGATGATATCAGTTCTGTAAGATTTTCTTGTTTTTTCAGGGTAAGTACATTCAAGGCTGCAATATAGATTGAATTTCTTCGTTTGTTCTTATTGGTTGGAGGGTTGCGGTCATTTTCCCCCTCGATGACCAGCCGGCTTGGGGGAGGTTGGTGTTTAATTATTTCTTCAGTTGGTTTTAGTTTCCGCTTGATGACTTCTAGTTGCTATTATTTTTTGGAAGCTGGCGTATCAGAATGAGAGCCAGGTCTGGAGCACATTAAATCGAAAGCATTTGTTCTGTACTGTTTAATTGATGATATAGTTTGTTGCTTCCTTGGCTGCATTTGGTAAAAGGAAGAAGAAGAAGATGGAGAAGCAGATACTTCTCATTTTATTTTATTTCAAATACCCTTAGTAAAATACGAGCATTAAGTGTAATTATTTCCTGGATTATTAAAGTGTATGAACTAAACGCCATCAAGTTCGCCAGTTAACAGTCAATTAGTACCATCGCACCGGTACAAATCAGGCCACATTATTAATACCAGAGTACCCAGAAATCTAATAATAACGGGAAGTTTCTGCTGGGACTCTATCTTTGAAACCACTGAACATGTTTGATTGAAATTTAGTCAACGATAGTTTAGCACTGGAAAAGACTTATGATTATTCTATCATGGAAATCCCTCGAGACAGGAACTAAGTGTTAAAATTCCGGGACTCTTAAATCTCTTAAACCACTGAACCTATTTGAGTGCAATTCGGTACAATTATAGTTTGAAAGAAACCTATACAACTATAGTTTACCTAGAAAAAATGTTTTCATCCCGAAAATCGGAAATAGGAATTGCGTTAAACTTCTAGGTCTCAAGGTATCCTTTATACCATTAAACTTAATTGAGTGGACTTCGGTACAACGATAGTGTGACACCCGGAAAAGGACGCCTGAGAAGTTACAACCGCTGTATCTATTTGATTGGAATTCGGTACAAGAGTGGTTGGCAGCTGTAGCCAAATACTATTTAGCGCTTGTCTACTTGTAGAGTAGAAAACAAAATTATATGAAAGTCATGTGTCAACATTTACGTCAATTCCATATAATTTCAGTCAGTGTCATCCCCATACATTTTGATTTCTACTCTCTCTGTAGACAAGCGCTAAAGTGGCGTTTGGCTAAAGGCCCAGGAAAGACATAGAGTAATTATTATTCTTGAATCCTCAAGTGAACAGATACTATATCGATAAAACCACTGTGGGAACACAAAAAAAACTTTTATTTTTAACCGACTTCCCAAAAAGGAGAGAGGTTCTCAATTCGGCCGGTATACTTGTAGCTTTTTTTTCTATGTATGTACACCGATTACATCGAGGTTAATGAACCGACTCTTCGATGTAGAATAGCTGGAATCTGTTCCCATAAAAATTTGTTTCAGATTGGTTCAGTAGTTTTTATTTTATGAGCACTTGAACGATGTCATTGTCATGATACTTCGTAGATTTTTACATCGATTACTTAAACATTTCTGGTCCAAATTGCGTGATTCCTTTTTGTTCGTTAGGGTATACTTTCAACTTGGTACTTGTGCTACCTGGTGATGATGAGATCCCAGAGAAATCAAGGGCAACCCTCAAATTATAAGCACTTATTATGTTTATTCTGACCATTTCCTAAAGTCATTCTATTATTTGTGGCTAATTCAATTCATCATTTTAGGTCCAAGAGCTGATGATGGAAGGTACACTCCTCAGTGCTTAGGAAAGAAAATTCTTTCAAAAGTATACCTACGTATGGATTAAGAATAGTATTATGTGAGGCTATTAGGTAGACCTGATTATAGAAGACAATCCTCGTTAGGTTGCAATTTAGGTTTAAATAGATATGATCAAAATTTGACATGTTTATGTTATCTCTTCACTATTTAACCTACACCTATTTAACTAAAAAGCAAAAAAAAATAAAATAAACTGCGTTTAAAAAAACCGACTTCAAAAACCATCAACTAATAAACTAAAGCTAAAAACCAAATAATAAGCTGTTATTCATTGTACTGCCTACCCACTGATAGTTTAGAAGTCTGTGCCACAAGCCCGTAACAAAATATAATATACCGATACTATACCGACAAAATTGTAAACAACTTAATGAACATAAGTTTTAATGTAATTATGTTTGGGATGATTGTAAAGAAAGTCGAACAAGAAGACGTGTTTTCGAGCTTTCTACCTATCTCCTTATTTTGTACCTACCTCTATGACACAAAATAATTTAATTACGAAATATCATAGTCGTTACTCATTAGGGAAGCCTATGTTCAGCCAACATCTTGTAACTGAATTATGATTATGATACACGTTACCTAATTACAAATAATTTATACATATATGACAAACATACATGACCATTATATGTTTGTCAGATTCTACGCATTATTTAGAACAGAATCGATTATGATTCGAATAAAAAAGTGGGGAAAAGCTGTCGAAATCAATTATCTATACTTTTTAAATATTTCCATGTCATTTAAGTCACGACTGTTAAAGTTATTTTAATTAGATAAATTACTTTCTATGCTTCTGAATGAAACTTGTTTTGTACTGTTCACATTCGGGTAATACAAAGGAGAGGAGGAGAGAGTATGAGGATTGTAAAGTAGGTATTAGGATAAACAATAAAATATATAAATTACTTCAATTATCTTTTATTTACAGGGTCACTATTGATAACACAAAACAACTTGTACAAAAACGTACATATGACTAAAAACCAGTAAGACTTATCACATAGGTACATACACTAGATACGTCTATGTCATATTAGTATTAGATATTCTTTCAAAATGGATACCTAGAGTCAGTAACAATTGATTAATCCATGTAGTCATGAATCAATCAATTATTAATGAGATTGTCGTCTGTGGTAGCTTATCTCCTTGCGGGGGGGTTCTTGGGGATGGAGGGTCCTTCAGCCTGGAAACCGTTCTCGTCAGCGAAGTAGTTGACGGTCTCAACTGTACCATCATCTTTGATGTAGGAGAAAGATCCGCGGACAGCGACGACATCGTGGGGCTTGTTGTCCTCGTCCAAAACTTGCTTCACGGTACCCACTTCTTCGCGTTTGATACCGTTGTCGGCCTCGAAACTGTAAATTATATACATAAATTACCAATTAGCACACAATCTCATACACTCAACTCAATTTACTAATAGAATAAACATCATGACTACAATTTACTAAATATTCTTACCCGTAATTGAAACCACCATCAGAGTTCCGATCGAAGTTAGACCGGACAATCTTTGAGGGCTCATTGACGGGCAGAGCGGTGGCGACGGCCACGAGGGCAAGGGCGACAACGATCATCTAAGTAAAAATAAATATTATATCTTAATTAAGAACAATCGAAACCACAAAACGAAATAATTTGTAAATGTTGTGAAACGGAACGTACCGATTTCATATTTGGTTTTTGTTCGGTGGCTGGTGAGCAACTGATGCACCGACGATCTTGGAATAATCTTTTATACGTTAGCAGACGCTTTGGCATAATGTCAACTGTCATTGATCAAGTCGTTAATCCAGATTTGCTATTTGATAAGTAATAATATTAATTTAATCAACGAGATTCATATCCAACACTTCATTATGCAGTATCTAAGAGACATTTGGTGACTCTCTTCACGACATTATTTACATAATTATTACAGCATGTTGAGGTGACGCAAGAAGCATTGTTTCAGTAAGCGTGAAAAGTGCCGACTAAAATTGTCAAATGGGAGGGTCTGAATAATATTAAATTTAAATTAATTTAGAATTAAAATTTATCTTTAGTTAATAGTAAGCTGCAATATTACAGTTGTTTTACTGCAGTGGTGCCACCTAACTGTTCGATGGACACTTCCATATCAGATGGTACCTACTCATTACCTCAGTACTTTATCACAAAATAAGTCAGGTTATAAAATTTTAATCAGTCAAAATGCCAACCGTTGAAGAACAACTTATTTAGGTACCTATTCCTAATTATACAGCAAATGCTTTACTACTTAAATTATTTTATCCTACTGTTCTAAAACTTAAAGACATTTTATTAGGACAGTTTTGTGACTGGATATTTTAATAATAATAATAATAAGCCCGCAGGGCACCTTGAGGCGAGGTGACGGGCATTAGCGATCCCGCGGACTATCATCCCGAGTGCTCCAGGGAGAAGTCACCGTTCCTTCTACTCCGGCTTGCCTTAATTGGCTGGCTGGAGTGAAAGATGACAAGGAACAGGTCTCCCACCTCTGGCTTGCCTTCATTGGCCGTCCAGAGTGGAGTCGCGAGAGCAGTGAACCTGCTCGGAGGGTAAGAAACTATTCGTAAGTCGCGAGTGGGCCAGGGATGCAGGAGGCTTCAGCTGGAGCAGATGATCTGAGTAGAAAGCGGTGGTAGTTTCTTAACCCTTCAGCCACTCACATTCTCGTTGCCCCTCTGTTGCTATATCTAGCAACCATTCCCGGGGCCCGGTCGGTGAGTTGGCGAGTCTCCGCCTGCCATTTTTACGTGTAAAAATTACATTGTTTCGGCAGGTGCCATAGTCATCCATAGTTCCCGATTTACCAGTCCACAGCAACCCATCCATAGCCCTACCTTTTTTTTCCATTATTCACAATAGTCCTACACTAACCGGGGACTGTCCTTGAGTGCATTTCCATAGTGCATACAGGGATAGTCGCCGGTTTGTGTGTCCATTACATTTATATTAAAGTTGTCTAAAGGGCCTCTGCGCAGTTGGCTTCGGCCCCTCGTACGCCTCCCAAATGACCGGGACCCTGTGGTCCCGTGAATGGTAAAGACATACATAATAATAATAAATCATTTATTTCAGGCATAGGAACCCATAGTAAATAGTCACACAACAAATTTATAGATGACAAAAAGTGGAATAAAAGTTACTGTAGAATAAAATGAAAATTACAATAAACGAAATCAAAATTAAAATTACAATCAAACAAAATTAAAATTACAATAAGATAAAATTAAAATTAAACAACTTAAATGATTAATTAAGATATTAAAAAATTTTATTTATAAATTTTTCGTCATAAGGTACGTCAGTTCCAACCTCAACAAGTACACGTGATGGAACACTGCCGAAACCAATTCACTCCCACAAGCACATAGACGAGCCTGGAAAGACGCCCTGAGCCTCTATCTCAGATTTCTTAACATTATATGTAAGACTAGCACTGTTGCCCGCGACTTCGTCCGCGTAGATTAATGACTTCTGACAGAATTAACCAGAATCAATTCAGTGCCCAAGTAAGGTTTACCTATTTTGAAATGATTTATCGTAGTTTCAATAAATAAATAATCCCGCAGGGATCTTACCACTACAGTGCCCGATCACGTAAGGTTTGAGTAATAAAAACTATTCTATCGACTATTGTTGTACCGAATCTCTCTAGAATTAGTTCAGTGGTTAAGAGTTAGAGAGTCCTGGGGAATTGACGCATAGTTCCCGTTCTCGTGAGACATCTATGAAAAATTTATCATACGTTACCCAGGTCCCAAATCATCGTTTTACCGAATGTAATTCAAAAAGATTTAATGATTCTAAATTCAATGGCTAAGAAGATTTATACAAACTCTCATTCCCTATTTTATCCCCTTAGGGGTGGAATTTATCAAAATCCTTTCTAAGGAGATACCTATGTCATAGTAACTTTATGCATGCAAAGTCTCAGCCCGATCAATTTAAAACTGGCAAAGTATCATACAAACTTTCACCCCCTATTAAAATAGGGTGAGAATGTTCAAAAACCTTTCTAAAGGGACGTTTACGTCATAATATCCATCTGCATGCCGGATTTCATCTGCAACATCCCTAATTAAACCTAGACTTAACTCAATGTATTTAGCTCCTTGTACATCTATTCACGTATTTAAAATAATAACTGGCCTAAAAAACACAAGAAGTGTTGGTTATGATGGAATCTCAACGAAAATAGTTAAGGATGTAAATGCTTATATATGTCATCATTTAAGTTATATTATTAATCTATCTATTACAAATGGCATATTTCCAACAGATCTTAAAATGGCAATTATTAATCCGTTATTGAAAAAAAATGACAAGGAATTAGTCGAAAACTACCGACCCATAGCCTTTCTTTCTGTGTTTTCAAAAATATTTGAGACTTATTACAATCTAGAACTAAACAATTATTTGGAAAGTAACAATATCTTATGCAACGAACAAAAGGGCTTCCGTCTTTGAGTTTTTAAAAAATATTATGTCCGCGATTGATAAAACCACCCCTGTGCTCGATCTTTTGTGACATGACACAAGCCTTCGATTATGTTGATCATGCAATATTAGCTAGTAAACTGGAGGCATATGGCATAAGAGGAAATGTCTTAGAACTATTTAAATCTTATCTGTCTGGTCGTAAACAAATTACACAAATAACAAAACTTAACTTAAAAACAAAAAAAGAAGAACAGTATCAATCCCAAGTGACACATGTTACATACGGTGTTCCCCAAGGTAGCATACTGGGACCCACGCTATTTATTACGTACATTAATGATCTTCCTCGTGCAACTGTGCAACCTATGATATTATTTGCAGACGACAGCACAATTAATATTATATGTAAAGATAAACAGTTATTTGAAATCGACATAAATGAGTCCCTAAATTCAGTAATAACATGGCTTGACAATAATAATTTAAAAATTAATATGAATAAAACGAATGCAATGAATTACAGTCAAAGACCTCAAAATTCAATTCAATTTAAAGTAATATATAAAAATAATGTAATTAAAGAAGTAGAAACAGCCAAATTTCTTGGTTTAAAAATTGACAATAGACTCAATTGGAAATGTCATACTGAAGACCTTTGTACAAAAATAAGTAGCTTATCTTATGCGATGTATAAACTGTCATCAACAGTGAGCAGAGACGCGTTACTGACAGCATATTATGGGCTGATAGAATCGGTGCTCAGATACGGTCTAATATTTTGGGGAAACTCGACCAACACGGATATGGTATTTAAAATGCAAAAACGCTGTATCCGGGCCATGTTCAGGATTAAAACTACTGACAGCTGTCAACCACTGTTTAAGGAGTACCATATACTAACACTTCCGTCACTATACATCTTAGAAATAGCTTTATTTGTAAGAAATAACCCTCTCTGGTTTCCTCTCTTAGCAGATAATATTGTTAGGAATAGACGCAAGAAATATAAACATTATCTACAGCCTCACTCTGCGAAAACAGTACTTCTCCGTAAAAGTGTGTTTTGTATGGCACCTTTAATATATAATAAAATTCCGCATAATTTGAAAAATATAAATAATAATAATTTGTTCAAAAAAGAACTGAAAAATTTACTTATTAAGCATTGTTATTACCATATTAAGGATTTTTTAAATGATAATTTATAAGTTCATTGTTTCATATGTTTTAACTTTAGTTGTCTCTTTAATCTATATATCTATATATATAAAATTCAAAGGTGATTGACTGACTGACTGATTGACTGACTGACATAGTGATCTATCAACGCACAGCCCAAACCGCTGGACAGATTGGGCTAAAATTTGGCAAACAGATAGATGTTATGACGTAGGCATCCGCTAAGAAAGGATTTTGATAATTTCCACCCCCAAGGGGGTAAAAAAGGGGATGAAAGTTTGTATGAAACTTTGTCAGTTTTTAACTGATCGGGTTGAAATTTGTCATGCAGATAGATGTTATGACGTAAGCATTCGCTCTGAAAGGATTTTGATAATTTCCACCCCCAAGGGGGTAAAATAGGGGATGAAAGTTTGTATGAGACTTTGTCAGTTTTAAACCGATCGGGTTGTAATTTGGCATGCAGATAGATATTATGACGTAAGCATCCGATGTGAAAAGATTTTGATAATTTCCACCCCCAATGGGGTTAAAATAGGGGATGAAAGTTTGTATGAGACTTTGTCAGTTTTAAACCGATCGGGTTGAAATTTGGCATGCAGATAGATGTTATGACGTAGGCATCCGCTGTGAAAGGATTTTGATAATTTCCACCCCCAAGGGAGTAAAATAGGGGATGAACGTTTGTATGAAGCTTTGTCAGTTTTACACCGATCGGGTTGAAATTCGGCGTGCAGATGGATATTATGACGTAAACGTCCCTTTAGAAAGGTTTTTGAACATTCTCACCCCAAAGTGGGTAAAATAGGGGGTGAAAGTTTGTATGATACTTTGCCAGTTTTAAATTGATCGGGCTGAGACTTTGCATGCATAAAGTTACTATGACATAGGTATCTCTTTAGAAAGGATTTTGATAAATTCCACCCCTAAGGGGATAAAATAGGGA